ATTAACACTATTGACCAGGAAAACTGGATTGATCAAAAATTCAAACAAACTAAAAGGCAATAACTATTTGCAGTAAAAATAATATATGGTTCTGGTTTAGCTAAAAAATGCTGATAATTAATTTTTATGATAATTTATTAAGTAAAATATTTTGACCTGTCAATGAAATAAAATAAGTACTGATATTATTGCAAATATCAATGTTTGTAAACACTGAGCTAGAGCTATCAGTCTACTGGCTCAAAGGTCAACTACTTGCACCTTGCTTCACTGGACTCTTATCTCTTGACCCATCTTATCTTAAATATTTTAACGAACCTGATTTTCCTTGAAATTTTATTTAATAAATCGTAAATTAACTGCAACTGGTTACTTGAACAAAAAAACCGGATTCTTACATGAGCACAGAAAAACAAACTGAACATTTACATGTAAAACACTAGGTTAAAAACACAGGATTAACATGGAATTATGGCAAAAACTGAGGAGCACAAGTTTAGCAGTTCCAACAGCAACAGGGACTTCCCCCTCTCCTCTTAAAAAAAAACTTATAAAGCTTAAAAAAAACAAATAATTTAGTATATCAAAGTGTTTTTATACAGTTATTGGAAACGGAGAAAATTAAAAAAAATTGTAAATTAAAAATTCTCATGTTATTCTTATGGAGAATATTGTAAAATGTTGTAGTTTGCTTATTTGTAGATATATTTTGATCAAACTTGGAAAATTTATTTATTTCATATTAAGATATTATTATTTTATTAAAAAAACACACTTTATTAGTTTACTTGTAGCAGCAAACCTAGGTACTCCTTAAAACTAATGTTTGTTATTTGGGCTAAATACTGTCTAGATTTAATTGAAAATCTATTCAGACAAATGGAAATTTGCTTAAGTCAGCAGGTTTGCTGCGACAGGGTTATTGTAAATTTGTCACAGGTAGTCAATATGGATCTACTTCAGTATCCAAAAGTCAATGGTAAACAATATATAATTGATAGTTCAGAAAAGCTCAACGTAGAACATTGAAACCATAAGCGGTGACTTCGCGTTGGCGGACTAACTGCTCACTCAGCTGAGTAGAGTGCTCTTATCTAGGCTACCTCAATGGTCATTCACTTATTGATAAACTCTTTCACGCCCCCGTCCTCTCATTATGTACATTTACCCGTCGTAATCTGTGGATTATTAAACTACCTATCCTTTTTTACTTTCTCCCCCTATACCATAGTATATGGAGAAAGTATTGTTTTCGTCAAAATTTTCGAGTTTGAGTTTTGAGTGGATATATTCGTTTTGGGTCCCCCTGGACCCAAAAAAGTGGTTTTCGAAGTGATGTCTGTGTGTGTGTGTGTGTGTGTGTGTGTGTCTGGATGTGTACAGAGCTAGAGACTACACCTGTGGTCCGATTTCGATGAAATTTGGTATGTAGGTTCTAATCCATGGTATCTCCAGGCGTTTTTTTCATTTTTTTGAAATTTTGATTTTTAATGGGGATTTTCCCATAAAAACCCATTCAAAACCGGAAAAATCAAATTTTCTCAAAAACGACTTTTGAACGATTTTGATAAAAATTTAGTATGTTGTAGCCCTTTAAATTCTGAACAAAATGGTTAAAATCCCATTTCTCTAAAAATTACGGTTCGAAAGTTATGATAAATTATGTTATTTTCCCATAAAAACCCCATAAAATAACGAAAAATAGGAATTTAGAAAAAAATCCGGTTTTTATTTAACATAGTATGTTATGGTCCTTACAATTTTGATAGTTTTTTTTCAATTTTTTAAAAATTTGGATTTTTTAATGGGGATTTTCCCATAAAACCCCATAAAATAACGAAAAAATAGAATTTTCCCAAAAACGGCCCGAACGATTTTGATAAAAATTTAGTATGTTATAGTCCTTTATATTCGGAACAAAATGGTACGAATCCCATTTCTGTAAAAATTACGGTTCAAAAGTTATTGTAAATTATGTTATTTTTCCATAAAACCCCCATAAAATAACAGAAAAGTCGGATTTTTACAAAAATGGCCGAACGATTTTGATAAAAATTTAGTATGTTACAGTCCTTTAAATTTGATCAAAATTGTACTAATCCCATTTCCGTATATTTACTCTCACCGCTTACACATGAAAAAGGTTATTGACAAACTTATGGGAGAAAGTATGTGTCAGAATGCTGATACCGTTTATTTAAATATTTAATTATTAAGAATATTAATCAGGCAAATGAATGTCTGATAAAAAAAAATCTAAAAGTTTGAATTTATCTGTATTTAACTTAAATAATCTTTTTTTATGCAATCTGTGTATCATTATTAACACTCAAACCTTTGTAGATGTATTTAAATAAACGATATCACCAATCTGAAACATACTTTCCCCCTCTAGCCTGTCAACAACATTTATCTTAGGTAAGCGGTGTAAGTATTTTATGGGGAAAATCCCAAAAGTTGCAATAACTTTTAAGCCGCAATTCTTACATTTGTGGGAGTGGTACCATTTTGTTTAGAATCATAAGGGCCATAACATATAAAATTTTAATTAAAATCGGTCAATCAAGTTTTGTTTTTATTTTATGATTTTTTTGTATAGGAAAGCCTAAATTACAATAACTTTTGAACGTTAAATACTTAAATACTGTACTTCCTTATAAAATGGCGATCATAGCCTACTATTGTAGGTATTTTTTGAGTGTAGGATGAGTGGCACGATCTTGTAGTCTTGTTCGTGGCTTAGGCCTCAATTTTTACAGCCATGTGGGTTGTACCGTTTTGTTTGGAGTTAAAAGGACTATAATATACAACATCTTAATCAAAATCGTGGGGGCCGTTTTTCTGAAGATTAGCCTAAATGTTTTTGTTATTTAATGGGAAATCACAATTACAAACCAAAACTTCCAAAAAACCAAAAAAGGCCATGGAGATGCCATGGATCAGTACAAATTTTTTTCAAAATGGAACCACAGGTGTGGTCTATAGCTCTGTACACATCCACATACATAGACATTACTTCGAAAATCACTTTTTCGGGTTCAGGTGAACCCAAAACTCAAACTCGACAATTTTGACGAATAGGCTACAATACTTTCTTCGTCCTACTATGTATAAGGGGAAAAAGTAAAAGTTATAAAATCAAGCTAAGTGATTAAAGCGTTATTACATTTTATTTATTCATTTGTGTGTTTCTACGCCAGTGGCATTTTTTACGTTTTGAAATGGAACCCTGGTCTTGTTACTATCTAGCGTCAACCTTTTTGTTAGATAGCATCATTAATTTATTGTTAAAAATGTGTTTTTGCTAGGCACTACACCCCTAAACTGTTCCTTATTTCAGGAGGGGGGCAGTTATCTTCGTAGGCTTTTTGTACTGCGGTTTCAACAGACTCTGCTAATTCTTCCAAGCCTTCCACTGTTCTGGTATGCACCATTACTCCCTCCAACTCCACTTGTAAGGATTCTCTATGTCCCTTTAAATTGGTTTGTTTGGGGACTCTGTAGGATGAACTCCTCTCCAGGTTAGCCTCTACGTCGAACCAAATGTGTGTGTGTGTGGTCTGACAGCGAGGCCTCCTCAGATACATGCCATCCTCCAATTTTATTATTCCTTAGGTTGATTGGTAGGGTTAACTCTAGGGCTTCTTCTCTTATACTATTGATGAAGGTAGGTTTATTACCCAGATTCTCTATTGTAAGTCAACCTTATAGATACAGGGAGATACCTCTTTCGTTGGTATCGGTGCTCCCCCAGATGATGTGACATGGGCATTGGCGTCACAGCCTAGGATGAGTGGCATCCCTTTGCTCTTGATACTTTCTTAGTTGCTGTCCTATGATACAAATATCAGGACTGCTACTTGTGATTTAATTTTTCTCTGGCCGATCTAGATGTATATTCTTTAACACGTTCGCTGCTGACTACTCCGATCAGAGTCATGCTGTAAAAACTTGCCAATCAAATAAGTGATTTTCAAAAAAATAATTATAATATCAAAACCACTTCTGTAACACAAGCTTTTATTTTCTTATTTTAATTCAAACTAACTCATGTTTTGTTTACAAGAGTAACAATACGAGTATTAAAATAACCATATGAATTATAACATGTGACATGATTGAGCCAGTAGAAAAGAAACAACTTTAAACATTTTCTAACACATGCCGTACTGGCACAGCGTGCATACGACTCCAGTCAGAGTAATGGTGCAGTGTTATACAAGTTGGTGTATTGTGATCTCCGCATTTATCGGGGAACAACTAAACTATGTCAGCATGTTGTTCTGGTCCTATACTTTAATTTGGTGTAGGTTGGGTTGAGGTTGGTAGTAAAATTTCCTTTAAAATCCTGTCTGGCAACACTTTTTGTCTCGTTTTCAGGGATTTTCTCTCTTCCAGCCACATTACAAAGACACTGGCTACGGATCCAGGCAGTGCTGCTATCTGTGAGTTTTTCAGTGAACTACGTCCACTCTCGGGGTAACATAGCACCATCACCACCGTTGTTTTGCCGCTGTCAAGACTGAAATATTTTAATGCAATAGCGTTCCTTGATTCACTGGCCGAGGCTGTGTCGCATTTTCAACCGTACTGCCAACTAAGGGATTCTTGCAGTGAACGTGTTAAAGAAACTTTTTTTGTCATATCTAATATAAAGAACGCAAACAAGAAGGACTGACCTTGACATCGATGATTGTGGAAACAGAGTGACGACCATCGCTGATCCAAGTCGACTGGAGCGACACAGTGTAGCCAACCATGAGCACCTTTTTGTATGTGTTCATATATTTATTCATGTATAATTATTACTTCTACACTATCCATATCACATAACCAAGCATTCACCTGTTTTTTTTTTTACCATCTGCCATTACCATAGTCTAGTAGTAATATTGTCTAATTTTTCAAAATGTTCACAGGATCGCAGAAGATGGCAGTGGTTTAGTAAGTTTTTGAGCTTAACTGTAAAGCATGTAGTGTTTCATGTTGGTATGTTGCAGTATCTGCCATTGATTGCTATCAGTGTACCAGTACCGATCATACAGACCCATTTCAATGTGGAGAGTACATGACGGACGATCGGGACATAGAACCGACACCTTGTGATAGTGTGTATGGCGCGGCCTACTGCATCAAACATACTGGCCGATTTGAAGGTGGCTCTACCGTTTATAGATTGGCGGTGCCTGGGTCCCATAATTCTGCACGCTTTTGCACTTTGAGAAAGGTGGAGGTTGGATGAAATTATTGGGGTGTCATCTTTCATCTTGGTTAGTGGGATGGATGATAAAGTTAAGAGGTGTGAAAAATAGCTATGAGATTCTTGTAGGTGTCATAAGCTGTTCTGTGGTGCAGTCTGTGCGTGTCTTTATCACTTGACACTGACTGATCACTTAGGTGATTAATTAAATACACCTTTCTAAATGATATAGTTTATTTAAACGTAGTTGTTTCCCTTGACACAATGTGACTTAACCTCACTATCAAAATCACACTACATTCTGATCTGATTCTATTGAATGATTTCTAAAAACGGAACTCTCTTTTTTTTTGTACAACAGCACTGTGTCGCCATCTGGGCAAAACATAATTAATGAAAATTAATAACAACACTTCCCCTTTAGAACATTTTTGATTAGGCTTCATTTTATTCACTTGATTTAACACTTTACTACACAATTTTTTTCCTAACGTAAACATGACATTCTACACTTTTTTTTTACTCAGAATACCTTTTAAGAGATTTTACAACCCTTCCACTTCTCCTACAGTGCCTAAGATGGGAACTATTCCTACACAAAATGTCAGTATGACTCATCTTTACTATGTAAGATCTGGATATTTTATTGACACCAACAATCTCTGCAGGTTCCTGGATTTTTCTTCTCAAGTTATAAACATACACTGGATCAAACTCTTTAAAGTTTACCTTAGTCTTGGTAGTTTCATTGTAATGATTAGCAGAACTAACTTGGTTCTTTAGTATCACTTGTTTTACCTGATACGTACTACATGAACTAGACTTAAGAGCCTTTTTAGCAATATGTATTTTTGTAGTAATATGTATTACTCATTAGGATTTGAGCAGTACTCAGACCATTGATAACAGGGGTACAGGGTAGGATTCAAAAGTAATGAGCCTTGTTTTTTCCTGACAAAACGATACCGCGAGCGATGCTGTGTGATGGCTTGCTTGGTAGTGGAGGGTGTCTGCTTCGCCTGACAACAAGGGTAGTGGCCTCCGAGCTCTCACAATGTTTGGAGTAAGCATAACGTGAACCTCTGTCTGTAAATTCGTGACACGGCGAAATAGAGAGTTCTCTATATCAACAATAAGTAATCAAATTTTTCTTCCGGTTGGGCAAGACTCAGACTTCAGAAACGTTTGCCATGCTTCAGCAGGCCTTTGGGGATTAGTGTCTTAAATTTATCAAACAAAAAAGTGGCACAAGGCTCTCCGAATGGGTAGGGAAGATGTCGGCGATGAGCCCCGGTCTGGACGCCCGTCAACAGCCCAAATGGATCAAAATGTGCCTTATGTGTGTGAGTTTTTAAACGCAGACCGTCGGTTAAATCTGTTTAAAGTGGCAGTTCTTTGTCAGAAACCATGGTGCAACGCATTGTTACGGAGGATCTACACATGCGGAAATTCCTTGTCCCCAGGCTCTTGACACATGATCAGAAAGGAAGTGAGTGCTCAGATGGCAAGAACTGCTTCAAATGTGCGATGATGATCCTGAATTCTTTCCTACAGTCCGTTAGTCTACGTATAAAAACAGCGCAGAAAGGATGCTGGTTCAAGCAATAAAAACTGCTGTCAAAGCGACCATTGCAGCTTTCACGGAACAAGGCTACACAGATTTTTATTTAAATTAGTTTAATGATATATTCAAGATATATTCGCTATTCAAGATATATTGTCTAAACTTTATGAATAAAGAATATTTCATTGATTGATGCCTTCGAAGCCTAGAAAAGTCCCCTACAAAAGGGTATCGACACAGGAGGAGCTTGTTTTGAAGATTTTTAGTCCCATCATGTACCAATCTGATCAGTATATCAACAAAGGCTCATTACTTTTGAATCCCAATCTGTATTACGGCACACAAGCAATGCAATGCTAATGTCTTGTTTAAAATCACAACATATTTTTAAACATTTTTTACAGTTTGGACTGTTCTTTCTCCTTGCCTATTAGTTCTTGGATATAAAGGACTGGAATGTATTATATAAAAACCCAATTCCTTTGCAAAGTCTTTAAACTCATAAGACCCAAATGGATTGGAACTACTTGGAACGGAATCCCATGACAAGCGAACATTGGTTTCAAGTATCATATCACCTCTGAAGCAGTTTTAGATTTCATACTTACTATACATTTTTTTTACATGTTTATGCTTTACATGTTTATGCTTTGCAGTTTTGGCATTGTTAGCTTTACTGATTCAAGGTATTACCATTATCATATTCACTAATATATTTATTTATTTCAGCATGTTTATTGTTTTAACCATTCTCATGCAGTAACATGTTGGAATCGCCCCGTCAAGTGCTTTGCTTCTCATTGGTGGATGGAGCTAACTAACTATAGTGTTGCTTATGGATTGCACTGATTACTTGTCTAGAATAGAGAGCCAATTGGTGTATTTTTGTTTAATGATTGAGATGAACAAATGTCTGCATTTGTTATATTAACTGTGGTTGGTTCTCTTTTCTTCTGTAATCAGTGGTAATGGGCTTTGTATGTGCATGCTGCTAGTGTATGGAATAGATTGCTACCAATGCACGTCCGCAACTAACATTGACTGTGGTGCTCCGCTTATCAACGACCGAGCTGACAGTTCGCTCGAGCCGACCAGTTGTAGCTATATGTTTGAGGCGAGCTACTGTGTTAAAACAACAGGGCTCCACTCAGGTAATTTCAGAGTCAGTTTAAACAATGTAAGTACATTTTGTGAGAATAATCAATTATGATTTTAAATTCCCACATCATTAACAACACTAACCAACAACACCAGCAACTAACTGAGTGACAAGATTTACAGTGGAAAGAAACAAGTTTATTCCAACCATTATTATCAAACTAGATAATAATAATAAATACTTAATACTTAATATTAAGTAAATGCCTTGTTCTAACGGTTTTCCTACTCACTTTCAACAATAACGCCTTACAGAGGTGGTAATTCTTCCAACAATATAGAATTAACACAATGCAAATAAGATGTGATGTTGTTCCTAGATGTCTCTAAGGTTTATGTGAGTTAGTAATGAGTTCTTTTGTTTACAATAGTCTATGAACAAAAAATGTGTAAGTAAAGATTGTTAAGTCTGCTTCATAATCCAAACAATAATGTAAATTCTTTCTAAAAATTTTGTTCTTGAGTAAAGTCTTAATATTTGCTTGAATTATAAATTATAACAAATACAGTAGGTGGTCAATGTGCCCAAAGGCAAGGAGTTTTTTTATGGCAAAAAGATAAATGTGAATTATTTAATATAAGAGTAAGTACATAACTATAGTTCGGTCGCTTAGAAAGCTACCTCCTCCAGCATTGGTTTAGCATTAGCGCGCAGGTCGTTTTCTAAGCGGCTGAACTATAATTGCAAATCATGATCCAAATTGAAGAGCTTAAAACTGAAAATTAAAGTAAAACTTTAAAATGAGCTTTCAACGTGTGTTTGAATAAATCTGCAACATTTCTCCAATTTATTGATGTTTATTCAACTACAACTCAATTGAAAGATACTGATTGGCTTATAAATCAAACTGTTACAACTGTTAATTTTAAAATTGTTACAGATTAAAAAGTTATCTGTCCCTTATGATATACCCAACATTTAGTGACAATGCTTTTTCATCCAGGCGGGCTTGGTACAAAGAGGTTTTGCTCATCTCTGGACCTCGGCAACTACTGCAACTACATCAGACAACCTGGGGATATGATGGAGTACCGCTCGTGTGTCTACACCTGTGACTCTGACGGCTGCAACGCAGGCAACACTCTGCGACTCAGTCTGACACACATTACTGCAGCGCTCACAATCACACTCGCTTCCACCAAGCTCTTCTCTTAGAATTTCACATTCAAATGTTGATTGTAAATTTTAGATATTAAGTACCTTAATAGATCTGTCGTGGCCTTCTGCACAAGCTGCCATTTGTGTTTTAGTGTTAAGAGTTGACATATTTATGTACACATTTTGTATTTTAAATAAATCGGAGGTTTATATTTTGTTGTATTATTTATTACCTTTTAATGTTGTTTTTTCCATGTTATTATATAGATTGAGATGGTTTGGTTAGTGGATTATCTTAATCAGTAATTTTTTTTGGGAATCGAGGCAAATGCAGATGAAATTCACTGCCAGATAGTTTGCCCCCGCTGTGAAGTGGCATCCTCACTGAATAAGCTAAAAAAACTGCCAATGAGTTCCATTCGACGACACTTTTTCTGTTGACAAAAATCTATGGATTCTGTCTGATACAGTTTCTATAGAGCCAATTTTACATGTTTGTATCCACACAATCTGCCTTTTTTTATTTTGCTGTAAAGAAACAGTCCTAACCTTGGTCTTGTTACTATCTAATGTCGGCCCCTTTGTTAGATAGCATCATTAATATTGACAGCCCAATGACCAATAGCATCTGGGTTCTGTAACGATCTCACTTGGAATCAAACCAAGTGACCATCAGATTTACACTCAGCTACAAGCTACACTGAGGATTTGTCTTAAAACAAATCAAATCAAATGATAGTTTAAGTGGCAAGGTCTAGTTGCCTTTTAAGTCAGGTTAACTGCCTCAGTTAACTTGAAATACTACACTAGAGGTAACCTGCCTGCCTACTAGCCTCATGTAAACGTGGCTTTAGATACATTCCAGCTTTGTGGACTAGTTTTTGATGAGACATCCCAGTTTATGTGGCTAATACCAAACAATTTGTCCTTTATTCAATTTTGTTAGATTGAAAAGGTGTGCACAGCAGAAAATTAATGACAGTTCACAGCACCATTCTCTAATAGTGTTGTACATCAACTACATACTCTAAAACTAGATTATGTCTTATAGATAGAGCTATGATATCGGTATAACAGCAAGTGTATTATATTTAGGTGTACTGGACAATCATTTACATTAAGCCTCTATTTTTATGTCTTTAGCATACATTTTCTTTCAACATGACTCAAGCTACAAAGACACAGAACCTCTTTCCACCCCATAAGTATGTTTTAAGAGAAAAGAATTTATTTATAAAAATAATAGTTATTGTATCTTATGACATTAATCAATTGCTTTAACTATTTGCTAAAACTATTGTTGGAACTTTTTATCATGCCATAATAACATGCTAATTTTAGTTAGGTTACTGAACTTACAACTAAGCTAAAAAGTGGTTGTTATTCCAAATTGCTACACTGCTGTGAAATGACCTGTTTTTGTTACATGTTTATCACCTGCGAAAATTCATCATTTACATTGTTTACTACGAAAAAAGAATGTTTACTATGTGGAAGTAATGTTTATTATCTTTTTTGGATTTGCTGATAACAACAAAGAAAGATAAACAAACATAGATTTGTTATTGTTTGTTCAACTGTTTCAATTTTCAACAACCAAATCTGTACAACCAAAGTAAATATTTACTTTAAATTGAAGGTACAGTACAACATAAAAAAAAAATCTTTTAGTTTTGTCTAGTTGTAATAGAGAAATATCCAATGCCTGTTTTACTTTTAGTTAAGAAAATAATTAGTATTTGTAGTGTAGCGAAAAATAATGTTCAAAACACGAGTGAAAGTAGTCTATACTCGATAAATCTCGCACTTCAAACATCGTCTCAAATATGTTATGACTCACTTTCTACTCTTTTTCATGAAATATACAAAATAGATAATTAGTACAATATTTCTAGAAACATTTTACTCATTTTATGATAGCTGTTCATATAACAGTGTAAGTCAAAATTGGTGCAGATTTCGAAATTGTAATACACCTCAGAAAGTAATATACATAATAATATACAGTAATATACATACAGTGCTCAATTTGTGGGAGAACACGGCGGAACAGAGATTCGATACCTTTCTGTCGGAAAGATAAAATATTGGCATAGATAGGTACAAATCACATTAAATAGGTTACAGCTCCGACACCTAATTTTTTACAAATCGAGCGCTGATATATATATATATATATATATATACACCGAGTAGTAAACTTGAGCGAATAGCCTACAATAACATATATTATGCTCATGAACATAATATGAATAAAATATGCATATTTTCTACCCACTAATGTACATTAGCCAGCTCCCAATTCTAAAAATAAAATGTGAGCTTGGATCTAAAAGTCAAGAATTAATTGTAGAAAACATAAATATTGTCTTAGTATACTGCACATGTGCAGGTATTAAATAATTAATATATGGTTCATGTAAAATTAAAAATAATATGAAGCTAACATTTACAGTAATTTTAGTTGCATGATTCTGAGCACGATAATAAACTAGAAAGGAGAAGATATCTATGTACAATCTAAATAAATGATAATATCATAAAATAAATAAAAAAAAACATTTTTTTTTATAAATTTTAATTATTTTTGTGTTATAAAATTTATATATTGCCTAATTTATTCATTTTTTTAAACTGCCGTTCTAACTCCACTATAAATCATCAAAAAATTGAATCATTCTAACTATTTTGGGCAAATAAATATTAAATTTAAAATGAACATTCCAATAAGTATTGTGAACCAAAACACCCGCAATCAAACAGAAATCAGATGAATGAGCTCAAAGTCCCCGTTGTTGAGGTTAGGTCAGTTGTCACGACTACTCAGCTGTGGAAGGACTTACTTTTCAGTTTATACTCTATGTTATGTAACTTCAGGATGAAAACAAGTTCACCTTGCACTCGTCGCCCCCTCCTGGACACTCAGCTGTTCAAGTTCAACCTACATGTTACCAGTGTCACTGCAACTGAAGGAACAGTACAATACTGTACTTTTACTTTTACTTTAACAACAGTACTCGCGTAGTGTATGTGGAGATTGTAGTGCCAGAATGATGTTTACCGATTGTCCATCTATGACTAATGAGGAAAACTTGTTACTCCGAAACCAGCATATTGCGTAAGTAACATCTTTTAGAGGTTATTTTTTTCTACTTAGACGCTGTAAAAAAGTGAAACCGTATGTAATTCACGGTGTAAGTAAGGTTTTGGATTCCGTCGATCGGATTTGATGTGTTTTGGGAGCAAGGAATACCCGAACCGAACCCGATTTTAAATTACGTCATTCAACAGGCTACGCTTGTCACAGCGCAACAAACAACGATAAAACAAATCGCAAAGATGAATATTGACTTAAAATACTGTAATTTCATTGTTGATCGAGCGCAAAGGGTGAACTTAATTTAATCACTAACGACCGTAACGTCTTCGTGCGTGGCAATCCACTTAACTTAAGATTGTCATGACAAGATAATACTGTACAGTATTTTCAATCATTACAACAAACGTTTATTTTTTATCATGGGCTGATAATATTAATTCTGTCCTTGTCTATTTTTTAACGTTTTATGTTTATTCAGGCAACAAAATGAGAGTATTTTTATGATGTTTTTATATAACCGCTGGATTACCAATTTAATATTGCACACCATTTTCAATAGAATTTGGAATCAATCAAAATTTAGTACAGATAATGTTTTGACTTGCTTATCTGGAAATAGAACTGCGATAAGTTCCCAAGTATAGTTGGTTGTATTGTATTTGTTTACACAACACATACCGGTAAAAAGCAGGATCCATTTATATCCTTGACCTTTTTGTAGTGAACTGTCTGTACTGCACCCACGTATTGTAAATAATTTTTGTTTGTTTATCAATAATATTTTGCGTTTGCATTACGTAAAACCAAGCATATGTAATCTTTGGTAAAACTAAGGAAATTAATCAAACAAAATATTATGTTAGTGAATGAAATAATTTCTAGGCTATTCATTCAAAGATGGCAGAGTTTTGTACACATTAATAATTATTGTAGGCCTATTCTTTCTATTCGCACACCAATTTAAGCTTTTTACTAAAACAATATTTGGAATTTTTTTTACGAGAATAATAATTCTCATAAAAAATAATCCAAATATTTGCTATCTATATTATATAATTATAAACTGATATATAATTATGTGATAATAATCGAAATAGAATGGTTTTAATTGCTAGTAAATTAACTGCTAAGCTATTTCATCAGTTTATTTATGGTGTTACATTTGCCGTTTTAACTTCACAGTTTTAGTAGTAATTAACGTTTCCTTGATTGTTTTAAAAGCTTTAAATTAGGTTAAGTAGTTTACTCATTGAAATAAAGCTACGTATAAATAAGCCAATATCCACAAGACTATTTTTGTTATGTAATATAACCGCTATTACTATTATTTATATTTTTAAAAGTCCATTACATATAGTTAGGTACCGTTATTAACAGATGCCATGAAAAATACTAAACTATAAAAAGTAGGCTACAAACAGTTTAAAAAGAATATATTTAAACTGAAACCTATTATTTTACAATGCAAACACTAGGTTCCTGGACAGACTATCACTAATTATTCTGTTATATTAATCACCAATGGGCGTCCGCGTAGGCTATAAATAGTGACGTGAATTTGGTAAAATTGTTCTTAAACTTTCTAAATTTCTCTTCTTTGTTCTTTTGAGGGATGTTGCTCTTGACCATTATCTTGAACTCTTGTTTTCAAGGACTCAAGGAAGTTTATAGAAAGTTCGGTTTTTATTCTACTCCTTATAGTTAGAAACCGTGATTCGTTCATATAGAGCAAGTATTATTTTTGTTTCAGTACAATAAGATTGAAAGTCGGGCCATTATTTCAACCAAAATATATGTTGAGAGCTCCATTATATTTGAAAAGATGGTTCTTTTTTTTATTTGTTGCATTAGGCCTTAAAAACGTTTTTGACTTCATATAACTAAAAATCAATATCAACCACACAAGTTTTTGTGTATTTTATTTATATGAATTCTTCTTAAGATTTTTACGTACTTAAAAAAAACTAGTAGTTTTTGTCATTTCTAGATCTTCAGAAATGGTAGCTACCTAATTAAGCTTATTTCATTTCACAACTCCTTTACCAGGCTAATGACACAGTTTGCTGTATGTTGAACTTGTGTTCTTTTTGCCTTTTGGCTAGCTAGATATTTAAAATCCTTTAACACAGTACATTTTATTGCAAGTTATAACTAGACAATTCTGGGTTTAATTAAAGAACTTAAAATTAAATCAATGTTTAATTTGTTTGTGGTTCTTAGTAGTAAACAAAGCAGGCTACCAGTAGGTCTTTCTTTAGCCAATGACAATGTTGTTTTTGGGCATTATTGGTCTTCATTTTTCTATGGGTATTTTAATTTTGATCCCCATAAAAACTGGAAATGTGCGTAGTCTGCAGGTTTGTTGCAACAGGGGCAGAAGTTAAATTTAGCAGCTAGTAATGTTTTAATTTGAAAGAACTTTTTTTTCATTTTAAGCCTACTGTATATACATATGTATATAGGTGCATGTACCTATATATTTGATTGAACTATCATCTTCATAGGTAATTCTGTTTAGAAAATTATCATTAACTAATAGGTTGGACATTGTTTCTCTGGTAAACTGATACAGTACCTTGTTTTGGTTACTAAATGAGGTGAAAGTTGAGGTTTTGTCTCTTGTACTCTTCTCCAGAGCCTAAAGCAATTTACATATCTGGAAACAATTCATCCTTGAAAATCAAAATCTAGGACTTCTTTTATTTTTTTAGTCCCTGAAAACCAAAAACATGTTTTTAAATTTTTTTTTATGTGACCATTTGTGTTTAATTGTCCAATTTTATTGGGAATTAGGATACTTCTTTTACTTTGTCAACAGCTTTTAAAATTTATCATCAATCATAAATTTTTGTTGATATCATTCGAAGAAATCTAAGTACCGGTATTTATTTTTTATTTAATACTATTTAAAGTGAGAGAGAATGTAAGTATAAATTACCTTCATCAAGAACCTGTGATAGATTAAAAAACATTAATAAAAATAAACAGGAAATTTACTTTGGCTGTAGGCTTGTTTGGCAGAATTACAAGTTTTTTTTACACAATGGGAATTAAATTTGGTTTATACCATTATAAGAGAAAATCTTATGTGTTTTACTATCAAAATGTAAGGAGAATAAACTCATTATTAGAGTAATATAAAAAGCTTACTACTAAATGTTGTCACACAGTAATTGAACTACTATTCAACTTTCAACTACTAGACAGAATTATCTGAATGGCCTCAATAATTTAATAAATGATTAGTTAAGGTCAGTGAGTTTTATCAATGAGCTCTTATCTCAAAATATAGCAGTAAAACATTCAATAATTCTACAGCAAGATATTAATAAGGCCCACACCAGTTGTTTTGCCTTAGAATATGGTTTATGGTCACTACTATGAGCTTCGGACTGTTCAAGTTTAACCCGACTACTAAAAATAACACTAATACAAAAAATAACAAAATGGCAGCTAAAAATGATTAAGACAATGGGTATTAAAAGTTATTTTGAACTGCCATTTTGTTATAAATGGTCTATTTTCTATTTTCTTTATGTTAATTGTTATGTTTTGTCAAGACCTGCAAAACAATACCAAACTCGACTATACTTGCTATTTGAACATTTCGAGCTACCGGTACCCCCTACCCGCGCTACCCCTAAGGGCAAAATTTTTAAAACTAACCATAATTATTGTACCGGTAGCCCTTCATATCCAAACAAGTTGCTGGGAACCGATTGCAAATATCACAAATAGTTAAAAAGTTAAAGGGGGTGCAAGTTAATTTTCAGCCACCCTCATGGTTATTTGGATTTCAAACGATTTAGGGCGCCATTTTGTTATTAGTGGGCTGATTTTGTTTTCTTTATGTCAATTGTTATGTTTCGTCAAGACCTATAAAATTATACAAAACTTGACTGTACTTGTCATTTGAAAATTTTGAGCTTCCCCCTACCCCCATTACCCCTAAGGGCGAATTTTTCAAAATTGACCATAACAATTAATTGTAGTCCTTCATATCTAAGAAGGTTGCCGCAAACAGATTTCAAAAATCTCAAATGGTTGAAAAGTTAAGGGGGGGGGGGTGTAAGTTACTTTCCAGCCACCCTGTATATTCAATATACAATATAAGTTAACAGCAATATAACTTTTGTAAGTTTTAGTTTGTTATCAGCCTTTTTTCTTTAGCTTTGTACCTTTTGACACATAATGGGCATCCCCCACTCCTTGAGTAGGGACTAAACAAATTAGTCCTGAATCTGTGTGTAAATTAAGTATTGAAACAAATCTGTATTTTGAAAACCGAAATAGATAGAAATATTCTGTTTGTGGAATTTATTGTTAACATAGGTTCTGCAATTTTTTACATCAACAATATTTTTTCAACCCCTTTAACAGGGTAGGGGGTGGGGGTGACTTATTTTTTTCAATAGTAACCCCTATTGAGTGACCCCTCATTTTGAAGGGTTTGTCAAAAGAAACACAATGACGCAAATCCGAGGTGAATATCTCACCCCTAGCCGGATATTCCAAAATGGGTGCTTTTTTACAAAAATTAAATTTTGGAATACCCGCCATTTAGGCTAGGGGTGAAATATCTACCTCGGATTTACGTCATTGTTTTTCTTTTAACAAACCCTTCAAAATGAGGGGTCACTCAATAGGGGTTGTTAATGAAAAAAATGAGTCACCCCCTACCCACTATCCTAGCTGTTAGGGGGGTTAAAAATATTTTTGATGTAAAAAACTGCGGAACCTTTGTTAACAATTATTGCCACAAACAGAATATTTCTATCTATTTTGGTTTTAAAAATACAGATTTGTTTCAATACATAATTTACAGACTGTATAGAAAATGTTAAGATAAATGTTGATAACAAAATAAATGGTATCAGCAATCTGACACATAGTTTCTCCCATTAGCTGGTCAAGAAGAAAGAAAGTAGAAGGTAATACATTCAACCCGTTTCCAGAAAGGATTTTCTCAATCCATGTTCTGAGATGGTTCACCGATCCTCCAGTAGATACAAAAGCATCATCTTACTTTTTACATTGTATTTTTTTGGATTTTGATTTTCAGGGAGTCATGTGAGCTTCATTTCAACAATGATCCCATGAAGATTGTTAGATCAAAAGACCAATACTTGTATGATGAATTTGGCAACCAATACCTTGATTTTGTGTCCAGGATTACAAATGGTAAGAGTGATATGTGAACATTTTTTTACAGATACATCCACAAAATATTTTTATTTTGGTCAATATGTGATAAGTTAGACCGGTCAGAAGCTGGTTAAAGTAAGTTTAACAGCTTCTGAAGGTTCCTAAATTGTTTTGATTATCAAGTACGGTAATAAATAACAGTTTTAACCAGGGCCGTATTTCCGAATAGGCGGACTAGGCGCGCGCCTAGGCCGGAAAATTGAAGGGGTCGGTAAAATTTTGGAAGATAAATAATCAAAAAGGAGGTTTTAATCTAAAAAATACTGAATGTTGAGCAATTAATTTTGAGAACTGCCAAAATGCTATTTTAAATACTTTGAGTGAGTATAAAAAAGATAGATGAGGGTGGGGGGACGGGGCGGCTAACTTCGTTGCCTAGAGGCGGCAGATAGTTAAATACGTCCCTGGTTTTAACATTTCAATCCAAAGTTTAATATATTATTTTTTCTACCACTTCATGGAAATGATCATATTGCCACACCTGTAAGCAAAATAGCTCATTTTCGCTTTATTCATTCCCGTTCCCTAAAAAAAGCAAATAACCTAAATTACATTTTATACACAACTAAAAAAGTCAATCTGTGTGTTATGATAATTAATTATGGTGGTGGGAATAATCTTTTGTTTTAAGAGCACAAACAATCAATCGTCCTGCGCCGTCACGGAAACGTGATCGTTGTCTAGCGCGATCGAGGTAAAATCATGAAATTTCCCGACTTTGATATCAAAATAAAGACTAAATCCCAACTTTTCAAGACCATTTTGAAATTCAATACTAATACCTGACTTTCCCGTTTTCCCCGACTACTAGACATCCTGGTTAATTATATTTTGACCTTGCAAATATAAAACAAAACCTTCCAATAAACCACTTTCTAAAATTATGGATTAATAAAGAAAAACTTTGAATCATTGTAATGAAACTACAAAAGTACTAGTGGCTTGTAGGGACATAAGTCCCTAAAAAGCTCAAATGTAAAACAACTTTTTGCAATACCGGTATTTAAACAAACTCAGAATAACATTATCTATGTGTCAGAATAGGCATCCCTACACCATATCTTTTGTGTAAAAACCAGTTTGTTGTTCTTCTTTGTTTGCTTTTGTTGATGTCATTTTCAATAAATACTTTGAATCACTCCAGTGGTTTAACATGAAAAGGCAGCAAACATATCATTGTTTGTGAATAAATACTGGTTTACTAAGGTAGCTTTGGTCTTGTGGTTAATGAGGATAAATAAAAGCTTCCCTGTTTGGAATTTTAAAAATTCATTGGAGGTTCGCCTTCAGAGGAATTGAAGACGCCTGCAATTTCATCTGCAGTAGGCTTATTATACCTACGACGATCCATATTTATCCTGTCTACAAACCTAAGTTCTAATTCACTGTCACCTTGTACAACCATTTCTTCCGAAGCTCTTTTGTAAATTTGTGCAAATGGATTTTCTAATAGAATTTCAGCTAGTTTTGACAATATTTCAGGTTTTAAGTCACTATTTTCTCGACGCCTTTGACGAATTTCTGTTGCTGTTGATGTGTCAATAATGTACAATTGGCCATACACGGGGTCTTCATCATGTTGAGGCAGCAAATCTGAGATTGAACGATAAATCTGTCCTTGAATTTTGAAACAGTATGGTCCTTTTCCTGGAATATCTTTCTTACTGGCTGAAAAATAAGCAAAAGCCATCGCACTGTTGCATTGTCGAATGAATTTATACAGTTGTGGGCTCTCTTCAAACAAACTTTTAAATTCTACATTAGTTTTTGACTGAGGAAGGTTAATAAGTCCGTTATGGCAACATGTCATAAAATGATTATTCGTTAGTTCTTCTCTAAAATGAAGAGCACTACATTGAATGCACTCTTGGTCCAATAATCCTGCATCATGGATCTTTACATTTCTCTCGTCTACCATGGGTCTCCTAAAAAGGGGTTGTACATATCTTGATTAAGTTCGTCATTATCTACTCTTGCTCTCCTACGCGCACTGTCATTCCTATGAACAGTTCCCCGCCTTTGTGGTATTCCCCTGGCGTTCATATTAATTACAGTACTTATAATGAAAAGAATATATATCCAGCAGCCTACATACCAAAACATCTTGAATCCCTGGTGATTTTATAAAAGTATGATCGAATATGATTACTCTACGTTGTATATTCACTGCACTAAAAAAATTTACTTACGAAGGAATGCAAATACACCATTTTAGAACCAATAACATTTATAGGTTATTTTAGTTGTATATATTTACACAACCTTAACCTTAAAATGTGTAGAAATATAAAGAAAACAACATCCTTTAAAATAAACTTGAACATATGATTTAAAAATAAAAACAAAACAGAAGTTAGATTTAATTTTGACTTTTTGATTATTTATACAGAATATTTATTCTATGTCGTTTATTCCTTTAACACGACAATAACGTAAAAGCATGAAAAAATGATACTTGAGTATATGATTTAAATATAAACAAAGAATGCAGACGTTTTTCCGACTAATAAATATAATATTTCAGTTTTATTATAGTATACATTTCATAGTTGACTGGCTAAAAGTAAACCAAATGTGTGTATTGATCACTGTTTTCAAATCTGTGGCACAGCTGTTTTAATTTCAAAAGATGTAAACAAATTAAACCCCATGTTGTTTTAATGGAAAAAGTTTTATTCTGTTGCGAATTTATGGTAAAAAAATAAGAAAAATGAATAGTTTTCCCTCAAAATTCACGTCAAGACCTTTAAAATAAAACCCCTCCCATCCTTCTACGGCCATCCAGTCACTCACAATTTCTTTACAAAAATTTGACTTACGGAATTATATATATAGATAACAAATATATGTAAAAAAAAAATACAATAAAAGATGGCATTTAAATTAATATATTGCATATATTAAATAAGTCAGTAAACTCCAATTCCGGGGGATTCCTTCAAAGTTGGCAACACTAATCCCAACTACCAAGTTGTTATGGAAACGGTCGCTAGCGCTTGATGCTGCAGCGGTGTGCGCTGCACCGTACCATTTTGTCTATGGTACTACTAGAGACTTGTGTTCACAGTGGGCCACTGCAACACAGCTGTAGTTGCTGCAGCATGCAGTCAGATGGCTCAGCTAGGATTGGCAGTCGGAACTGATGTGGTCAAGATGCAGCATCGCCTCGCGACTCTGCTGCTCGAGACTTTGCCTCCCAACTTCGAGGTTGTCCTCTTCACCAGCTCTGGGTGAGACAGATACGATAATGAGTGATCAGTGATAGAATTATTTAAGTATTTTCTTTGATAAGGATGGAGTAGAATAGGATATAAATTTGACGTTAACTTGTTAGCCATCCTATCACACTTAAATACTCTGTTTATTCTCTAGGGCAGCGGTTCTCAAACTTCTTTAAACACCCTTAGTGAAAAATAAAAATTCCCCTCTGTGTACCGCTTTGTTATTAAAGAGGTGGTAAGTTGAATTAAAAACAGTTTTACATCATAAACACACAATATATTTTACATACAATTATGCAAAACAGAAGATTATCAGAGGAGGCTTTGTATCAGATGAGGTTATTGTTAAATTTTATAAGTGTTTATAAGTGTCTCAAACATAGTTTTAAGAATTGCAAATGCAAGTCAACAGAGCTGTATACCAGAGCACAAATGCGTTAAGAATCAAATCAAAATAGTTCTTGGAGTTGCGCTAAATGACAAGTACAAATGAAATCAAGTCAGAATAGTTTTGTTTCAGAGCTGCCCTAAATGGTGAATACAATTGAAATCAAGTCTCCGAATAGTTCTCGGAGTTGCCTCTGAGTTTACAGTGCTGCTGGCATCAACTACACACAAGTAGAATGCTCAGTTGACTGTGAGGAAACTCTCAATGGTGCCCAAATAGTACGACTACATAAAGACATAATTCTTGAGGTTAATACAAAGCAGCAGTCTTCTTTCTGTACCCTCATTTATTACTCAATCTACCCTCAAATTCAGTTTGTACCACTCCTTTCCCCCTGTATCATCTGTACAAGTTGTATTACTTCTTTATGATGTGTATATGTGTGTGTGTGTGAGTGTGTGTGCGTACGCTGCTAATTGCCCGAAGGCCCGAACGGTAGTCCCAATTGAATCTATTACATTCAAGGCAAGGCTATGACCTTTGAAAAAGGTATTTGTTTTAGCTCCCATTTTTAGAATTTTCCAACAAAATATGTATATGTTTTGCAAGCTTTTAATCAAGGATCCCTCTTTATTCTCTAGCATGAACCACATGCACTCCAACAAAAAAAGCGAACAACATTCTATCATAACAAACTTATGAAAAATATCTGCTAATGCAAAGAAAATACATGGTATGACTTTTTATACCATGTTCTTGTATAGTTATTCACAAAGTTAATAGCAATGCAAAAACCGATTACGACAAAAAATCCAAATTTTTCTATAGCATTAAACATTTACATTGCAGGATTATAAATAACTACATAAATCTAGCTCACTGAAATGATGTCTGGCTTAATTTATTAATTACCTAAAAAGTTCATGTAACACAGTGAAAGGTTGTTGCAGTGCAGAAGCAAACGACCTTGCTCTTCAGATGGCTCGCAACTACACCAACAGAAAAGACCTCGTGGTTGTGGACGGCTCATTCCACGGCACTGGCAATTTGCTAGCTGACATCAGTCCTCGCGCCTTCAAGATATCTCCTGAAGGTGACAGCATTGTGATAGTATTTATACAGGGTGGTCCACGGGAAACGGACACTTTTGATTCGCGCATTTCTCGGCAACTGATGGAGAGAGAAACTCGGGTTTAAGGTCATTCAGTTTCCCATCCAATGCCATTTAGTCACCATCATGCTGTTGTGGACGAAAGATCATTGCATGTTGGCATACGATGCTTTTGTAAAAAATTGTGAGTCAACTGTGAAACTCAACGTGGTGGGTTAAGGGTGGAAGCACAACAATGTTTCAGACGTCATTGTTGTATTGGTTGTCATGGTGAACTTAGACAATTTTAAGGTGGACTTCTTATTTAGAACTACAGGATCAGATATGAAAACAAAAACACCTGGAACACAGTTAAGTATTCTGTAGGAAAATGTGGGATTTATGAGCCATCTTTTTTTAACATGATAAGAGATGTTTTCATTTCAGAACTTCAAGGGTAGAAAATCGACATAAAGAGCATATGGTTTCAACAAGATGGGGCTACTGCTTACACGGCCAATGCCTCTTTGTCAGCAGTTTGAGTGTTATTTCCTGGGTGTGTGATCTCATAGTTTGGTTACGTTTTGTGGCCACCACATTCACCGGACTTGTCAATGAGTGACTTTTCCCTGGAAAGTCATCTGAAGACACGTGTTTACAAAAAAATCACGTACTCACGAAGAATTGAAGGCCTCAATCAGTAGCCAAATTGAACTAATAAATGAATAGTTACTGAACAAAGTAAGACATTTTCGAGCAAGGCTTGAAAATGTGTGTCTGTTTCAATAGCCATAATTTTAGGGATGTAATTTTCAAAACTTAAATAAGGTATTTTATTTTGTAAATGGCATAACTTTGCCTTCATTTTTATGTCAATAAAACGTTTCTATGTTTAAAACTTCATAGCAATAGGAATTTTAAATCCATCCGTTTCCCGTGGACCACCCTTGTACATTTAATAAGTAGAAGGACTTAAACAATAATTTATCAAAAATGTCAACCAATCTGAAAGTTTCCGTAGCGAAGCACGAGTATTCCGCTAGTAAAATATAAATACCACTCACTGATCACTACAACTCAATAATTACAAACGTTAAGAAAAAAGAATTTAGGAATTGGCATGGAGGTTCCACATTAGCTCTAGATGTGCAACAAGAAGTGAAATTCAATCAGGGCTCTGTCCCACTGTAAAGTTATTTCCACTGTTTATTAAGGTTGAGTTTAAATCTTTCTAACTCTAATTTCCAAATTTATCAGATTTTTATGAGTAACCAAACTTTAATTTACTAACGTATTCTTGTAAGCCCAGGTGCATATTGAGCTGTGGGTCAGCGCAGCATTGGGTAAAAAGTCTGCGTCACACAGTTAACATCGCATATTGGGAGGCAGTGTCATACTGTTCTCATATGTGAGCGATACTGTTTCTTGTGCAAACATGTCAAAATATTTTAATTTGAGTTCTGAGTCAGATTTAGATGCTGTTCTAGATTTATTGTTACTGCTCCACCAAAGAACAAAAAAGAAAAAAATTAAAAAAATAGTAGTCATGACAAACCTGTCTAAGTGCGCGCACGCGTAGGCCTACTATTTTTCATATGTATGTTTGTAAAAATTATATTTATTTGACAACCTCTGATGAGTGATAAGTGTTCTTGAAGACCTAATGATGAAGCTATTAATGCTTTGAAACGCGTAGTCTCGACAGACAGCCTTTGGATTACTCTGGCAGATCCAGGTAACATTATACCTTTTATAATCTAAAAAATAGTGACTACCTGAAAAAAAGGAAATTCACATGGGGAATTTGTTCTGACAAGTAGTGAAAGCTTTATGAACTATTTTTGTCCTAATAAAGCGGACTATAGACTTCTCCTGTAGATCCATTGCACAACTCCAGTCAACAAGGGGGTGCAGGTGAACAATGTGACGCTGGCACACTTGTGTCTCGGCCACAAGTGGGCGCACTCCATGTCTTCACTGTCCTGCCCTGCGCTGCGCCACAAAATGTGCATGCCCTAGTGAACACATGGTTTATAAAAAAACTGCCCTGCCCTGTGCTGCGCTGCGCTGTTCGGACTGCGTCTCAATATGCAACGGGCCTAAATCGTGGGTTTAAATCTTGTCACATCAGTCACAGTTCTTCTGTAAAACTTTGACTATTTTGAGTCATTGGCATAACTGGTGGGTTATGTATGTCAACAATAAGCATTATATGGATCAGTTAGAAGTTGACGTGGTTGTATTCTTTGTTAATAGCTCTGCTTACCTAGCATTTTACCTTCATTGATTATGCATCATTGGATTATACCCTTACCAAAACATAGATTCAAGAGCTCCACCATATTTTAGTAATTTTTTTACAGGCAAGAAGCCGTGGGTTCATGTAGTGCCAGTACCGGACATGTACCGAGGTCCGTACACCAGCGACGACCCTGAGGCTGGAGAAAAGTACTTCCAGGATGCCAAGAGAGTGCTGGAGCTTGTCTCCGTCAACAATCATGAGGTATTTGGAATTTAAACACATAATATGGTGCTTACATAATAGAAAATAATATATACATTACCTGAGGAGTGAGGAAATAATATTCTGGTTTTTAAAATTGGTTGTACCTCAGTTTAAGAATTAAAATGAACTTAAAGTTAAATCAAGTCACTGAAAGAGTGTGCTGAAGTCAATTACTGATTTCTGACGTATTCACCAACTTTTTAATCAAGCCAAATTGACAGGACGCGGCGATTTACTGTAAACTATAGTATAATTTATGTCATATCAATTTATTAAGCATTAAAAAATAAGAATTTTTGACAGTTGTGCTCTCTATGAGCGGCTAATCAAACTATGGTGGTCCATTTGGGTGGGATGTTTACTCAAATATTCAGAAGTCAATGGTTGTACTTTTTTTCAGCTTTGAGATTGTAAGAATTAAGACACCTTGCTTGTATGTACATTAGTCGTTGAACAATTCCAGATGTTGTAATTTAATTGACTAAATACATATTGGACCTAAAGAAAACCTCCTCAGTTGAAAATGCTGTCTGTGACAGAGAAATATTCTAACGCTTTGTGTATATATTGTAAAGTTTTGTGTATCCTGTACCAGTTTGGACTTTTTCCCATTCAGGTAAGCCTGCTATCCTCACAAAAAATCCTTAAAACACTTGTGCTCTATGTTACATCGTCAACCTCAGACTAAAAAATACATAAGTATTTATTCTGGACCTAGTTACCACAAAATGCCTTATAGTTACAAAACCAGAGTACAGTAGGCTATGTATCATTCCTCTATTTAAAACAATAGAAATGCCAATGCCATAGAAATTACAAAACAAAACATTAGTGTAGTAATTTAACATATACAATAAAAGGTTTCAGTTTGGCCAAATTCATGTTGACGGAGATTGATTTATTCCTCATACTCAGTTTGGAAATTGTGAATCCATAGCTAGTTCCTTACTCATGTTCAATTAGTCATTCTTAATTATTTAATTTCTATTTAAGCAAGAAACTAATTGGTTTAATGTTGACCTAGATCGCTGGGTTCATCTGTGAGCCGGTGATGGTTGTGCATGGGATGGTGATTCCTCCTCATGACTGGCTGGGGAAGATGTACAGGTATGTAGGTCTATAGCTGTTAAACGTTAACCTTTGATAACACCATGATTATCTAATCTTCAGTTATACAACCTTCCATGTTATCTTACCTTTCCTGAGGAATATTGAGATGAGTACTGTGACATTCCAAGGTATTTCCATTTTGCTTGGTTTACACATAGCGGGTGCATCAAAATAACTTCTTCTGCTGCTCCTAAATGTTCTCAGAAGGCTTTCAGTTGTAATTTCTTTTTGTTTTCCACACAGTCTTGACAATATACTCATACTTACATATCGTACTGTCACCCCCCCCCCCCTCCCATATTAAAATGCACAGAGCAGCTGGTAGAAATGTCGCAGACCAATTTTTTTTAAGAGACTGCAGAATTTTACAGTACCATCTTGTAACTCTTATGGTAGTATATGCTAAGCCTCAACTTTGTGTTTCATTTTCAGCTACATCAGGGAGCTCGGAGGCATCGTAGTTGCAGATGAGATTCAGTGTGGGATGGGTCGTACAGGAGAGACGTTCTGGGGATTCCAGGGGCAGAACGCAGTGCCCGACATACTGACTGTTGGCAAACCTCTGGGCAACGGGCATCCTATCGGGGCCGTCATCACCTCCAGAAAGATAGCTGCTACAATCAAAAATGCTGAACAAATTGTAAGTGTTGCTAGAATTTGTGATTTTGAAATGAAATACTTACTACAATACAGCAAAACCTCTTTTAATAGCACACCAATAAATTGAAACTCAAGTTAACTGAAACTATAATGAAAAATTAAAATAAATTGGAAAATTAGCCATGCAAGAGGAGCTGTATGTTGTGGCAAGGGTAGTTGGCCTGGCTTGGCCAGCGGAATGTAATGAAGCGGACAACATCAGGGATATAATGTTGTGATATAGATAAAGCTCAGTAATCTAATGAATAGCTTTTATGTTTCCAGTTTTAGATTTTAAGACATCAGGAATTATAATAACTACAGTAGTAAAACCTCGCTGATCCGACCTCGGCTTGTCCGTCTTCGCTTAATCCGAATGTGCCATCGCCTATCGGTGACGTTGTTATCATTGTAATATCATAGTTTTTTGCCTGTCTGGAGCTAATCATTGTCTTATGTGACTGTGGCAAAATATTAAACAACTCCTGAACTGCCGGAGACATCATCATCGTATCCAGCAATTTCAGAAACTTTATTGTTCTGAGGATTTGCAATCGCGGTAAAAAAAACACCATTCTCGTCCCCCGGGAACACAGAAATATCATCGTCGTCTCCTGCTCTATAATAATAGAAAATGATTTCTATTATTATTATTATTAATTAAATGTTTTTTTTTACTTATTTTAATTATTTCTAAAAAGTTTTATGAATTTAATACTAACAACATAATTTTTACTTTGCTGTGCTTTTTTACATAGTTGTTAATGAAAAACCAGTGTGAAGTCAAACAAATTAGCATTCAAGTTTTAAGTTTCTTGCCTGTGAACACTCTCCGATTCACGCCTCGAAAAAATTACTCTTTGGGGAAACACAGGAGGGTGTTTTCTTACTCATAGTCCATTCAGGATTTTGGGGATTATAGGCCATGCAGTAAATTTCAGAGGTCAGCCAATAAGTGTATTTTTTTATTTGATGACAAAATGTTTTGTGATTGGTGGGAATCCCTTGTGAGTGCCAGGCCTAGTTACCATATACTTCTAAGAGTAAAAAGCTATTAATTGCTCGTAAAGCTGGGTTATTTCTTTTCCTCCCCTAAAACTACAATTTTGTAACTGAAAAATATACACTATTGATTACAATTTTGATTGAAAAAGTGCTTACAAATTAATCTTTGATTTCTCCCTAATAAAATAAGCGAGTAACAAATTTTACAAACAAACTTTCCAGTACAAATGTGACCCAGTGGGTGCAGCCATCGCTGCCACAGTGATGACGGAGATGAAAGACAGACAACTGATGGATAATGCTCGAAGGTTGGGCAATATGATGGCAGAAGGCTTCCAGTTACTGCAGAGGTCCCACCCCATCATCGGTAAGGCTAAAATCTTTTTTTTTTGTGAGCTGATTTTTTTTGTAGCAAATGATACCTTATTTGTGTACAGTACGTCGTCATCGTACTGTACGTCTAGAGTCAGGGATGGGGTGTTGTAATAAATACACTTGTTACATTTTAAATAACACTCAGAGGGCCACAAAGGGTATATGATGTTGACGGGTCTAAGACATGGTGTGGACTGACGTGAGGAGAGGGGATTTAGGCTTGTTCGGAAAGGTGGTGTGATGGTGGCGTGATATGACGTCACGGGAAATAGCCATGAGCTGCTTTATTAGAAATATCGCCTGATTTTGCATATTGCCAACCTAAACAGAAATTGTGGTTACATGATGGTATGAGTGTCAAACTATGGTAACGCAATATGGTCCAAAATATCAGAATATGGTACAATCTGTTAAGAATGGGTAGATAATAACAGTGATTTTTCATAATGCATTACCACTTTTCTCCATTTAAACAAAGCTAATACTTCGTTTACATTGTCTAAATATCTTTACAATCATCTGTTATACGTCAATCAGGAGTTTTAAAACATTACAGCTGATTGAGTCATTTGTTGTTTTTATTTATAAAAGTATTGTTGTCTGAACATTACTGCAAGTCTTTACTACTTGCTTACGGTTCTTACAACCTAGTTAAAGTCATTATTTATTGTTGGTGGCAACATAGTCCGCGACTACTTAAACCTCACTTTTCCTAGCAATTGGATTGGGCGTGGAGGGCCGATACCGTGGTCCGCTCGATCGACCGACCTCACTCTTCTTGACTTCTTCCTTTGGGGCACAATGACATAATTAGTTTATAGTACACCTGTAGAGAGTGAGATGGACTAGTAGCTCGAGTGGTTGAGGCAGCCACGGTAATAAAAGAATATGACCAAGTTTTTGAACAAGTTCAACTATCCATAATTGGCCGGTTAAGATTATGCAACCGGGTTGACAGTCGTCATTTTGAACAGTTGTTGTAAGTAAAGGAGGCCTCTTGTAAATAAAGAAGGACGATAAGGTATTGTCCAATTGTATTTAATAATTACAAAAAAATGTTTACATTATCAATATAAAAAAAAAGTTTAAAGAAAGATGTTACTTATAATAAACAACAACTTATTCTATACTTATAAATAACAAAATCAAATGATTCAATAAGCTGTTATGTTTTAAAACTCCTGATTGACGTATAACAGATTATTGGAAAGGTATACAGCACCGAATGTGGTATGGTTAGGACATTGCCTGTTTGGATAGTGTTCTGCACACAATCTCGCCGCTCCTCTTGCACTGCATTTAGGCGTTCGGCTTAAATTTGTGTCGCAGTGTGACACAAGAGTGAGCTCAAAACTCTGTTGGTTCGTTCACCTTCACTCACAATTACTGCCCCTCATGTGTGGGACAAGATCGCAGTAACATAAATATAAAAACATAATTATAAAAACAAAACTTTGTTCCTGATTGCAAGTCTATTTCCTCAATTGAGTCATGTAAATTATGATTTGGTTGGTAATACATCTTGTGCTACAACACAATTTGTATGGAGCAGTGAAAATTATGGGTATGATGTAAGATGGAGGAAGAAGTCTAATCTCCTGGTACGTAGAAATCTTGATACCTCAGTTTTTAGAAACCAAAAACAATTGTTTTTCAGGTGATATTAGGCACAAAGGGATCGTTATTGGAGTGGACATTGTCTATTCTAGCGATTGTATGAAACCTGCTACTGAAATGGCTGAGGAAATCAGCAATGGGTAAGTAGAAATTAATTTTTTTTTATTCAAAATCATATTTTTAATGGTGAATATGTTGTTAATTCTTATCAAGTAGACCTAGACCAGTAGTTATTATACGCTTATTTTTTAAACAATTTTTCCCTTTTCTATACTTGGAGATATGTACTCTGCCCAGAAGTGTAAAAGAGGTTGGCAGCCTCTATTAAACCTTGTATTTGCCCGTCCACATAGACTACAGATCTGTGTGTGGAACGTATCCAGCAAAGAAAGGGGTGAGGCGGTACAGTACCAAGGTGAACTGTACTGATAAAATATTTGCGGCAGTGACCAGGATCCGAACCCACGACATCGCTGCCTTGGGCGCGAAGTCCGTGACGCTACCAACTGAGCCACCAACTCACTATGAATTAAAGGCTAAGAGGGATCAATTTGTGATACCGTTTATTTCTTCCATATATTACTTAAATGTTTTTTTAGCCTATTTATTCTTGAACCTATTTATTCCCGGTACCAACCCGAAGATGTGAGTTGTAACCTGAGAAATGTCAATACATTTTTTATAGCTTAATAACTAGATGTGATAGTCAACAAATGTCATAGCTAAAGCTTTAGAGTGCACACTTTGATAGGTGAATCTAAGTCACCCCATGCCGTGGGTTTGCCACTTGTACAGCTCATTCATTGTATTGGCTCACACCTAGCTTTGCTTTATACTCTCTACACCATGCCTTTAAGACACACAAGGTTATGTAGGCTGCAAACCTTGTAAAAACATTCTACACACACCTTACACCCTCCTATATTACATATTTTACTTACAATTTAACGTGACTTCTAGCCTGAGAAAGGAGAGACTTCTCGTTGGATGCGAGGGGGAGTACAAGAATGTGTTGCTCTTCTTGCCAGCGTTGTGCATCACGGATAGCGATGTTGAATGCGTCATAAAGACACTTGACCAGGTATTGCGCTGCGTCGAGCTGTCATATATGGACGACATCTATGACATTATCAACTCCCCTTCCCCTGGTGAATTGGAACCTAGCACAAGGTAAAAACATAAGTTCAAGCAAAAATTATGAAAAAAAATATTGTCTGTTTTTATAGTTGTTAGCAAGTATCAAAATTATTTAGTACAACATTTAATACAATAATGTGAATAAAAAATTAAGGATCAACTAATAAAAACCAAAGCTTTTGGAATCACTCACGATTTGTTCTCATTGGTGTTAAAATTTTCTTTAGCTGAACATAATGGACATTTCTACTAGATCCTTTCTATTTTACAGTATCCAACCATCTTCAACTTATCAACTTAGTGTTCACTCTAAGTTTTGGATAGGCCTAGTTGGTTAGGAAATCCTGATAAATGATGTATTTTAACATAAAAAAATAATTTGTTGCAGTTTTGGAGTGCAGCCATCACCAGACAATCACATTTTCATAAGCACATCTCAACACCCTTACGATGCCTTGGACTGACAATAGTTTTAACAACTAGTATTAATTTTTGACATGCATAATATTTTTGTGATCTCCTTAATTAACATTGTAAATACATATGGTTATTTAATACATTTTTTATGAGTTTCAAAGCATTCGATTTCATTCACCCTGAGCCTGTTTGTATTATACTGTAGTACAGTAGAACCCCGGTTAACCAACCGAATTCGGGTTAACCGAAACCCGGGTTAACCGAAACAGTTCCATAAAATAATACAGGGATAAAATATGCTTTAGTAACTTCAGTGGTTTAGTTTAAAGTATTCTCTAAACCATTGTAACATTTGTGTAGCTGGAATAAAACACTGTATTATATAGACATGGTTTTTAATTCATTTTTCCTACACACCAAGGCAATTTTTAGCATATGACGGATTAACCAAAATAATGGTTATCCAAAACGGCTCTCCCCCTTTATTTTGGTTGACCGGGGTTCTACTGTGCATGTCAAGATGAGTTGGGTAGTGAAAAGGAGTGGACAGTGGTTTTGATAGTGTGCAGACCTTGCTGTGAGAAGTTTTTTCCCATCCTGGCTAACCCATCTACAAATATACACCATCAAAAACTCAGATGCTTTTTGATGGTTTGAACCTGTATCCAGCTGTCCTTGCCATTGGGCATTTAATAAATGGTCCTGGCTAAAGATCCAGCTGTTGACAAGTATACAGAACCTTATAAGAAGCGAAACCGTCATATTAAAAGAGGCGACGCTACGAAGATTGCCACTAGCTGTAGTTCACGAAGACTATGGCTGGCGACGCTAGCGCTCCCTACATAAGTCTTTGTGAACTACGGCTGGCGGCAATCTTCGTAGCGTCGCCTCAAAATCAAAATATGGCGGTTTCGCTTCTGTATTCATTATAAGGTTCTGTATTCATTGGTGTTGATCAGTAACAAAGCTGTCATCACTAATCTTATTCTTCCAACCTTCATCTTTACCTTAAAATAAGCATCCTCTGGTGGGTCGGCATATAAATGGAATGACATCACATTTAATCAGACCTGCTAAAGATGGATGCAGTCGATGCTCAACAGATTTATCAACATTACATTATTTATTCTGTTGTTGTTTATGTTGTGTATTGAATATATGTTTATCTAAATATTCCATGAAGTTATCCATGCAGATTGATTGTATTGCCTGGACTGAAGTGTTTCATAATCTCCCCATAAAATGCAACACCTTGGTTGTTACTTTAGGAACTGCTGACAGATACTGTACCTTGTTTATCAGTTAACATTGCAGTTGCAGGTCTACAATGAATCCCAATAATTTCCATACTGTATTTAGTCAAACTAATAGCTATACAGGGTGTTTGTGAACTCTCTCAAAAGATTCACAGGATTATTCCTTGGGTTAATACATGAATATTTTACATTATAAACATGGGTCGCCTGAGCCTCGTTTTCCGTCTGTCTGTCTGTATGTGATTTTTATAAATAACCTTATAACTCGAGTTTGAATCGAGGTACAAACTTTAAATTTGACACACTTGTGTATTTTAACGTGGTACACAAACATGCAAAAATTTCATTTCGTTGACTATTGCCGTTTTAAAATGGCGGCCATCTAAAATCTTGACCTCAAATTACATGAAAACCACTAGAGTTACAAAAAAAAAACACAAGAATAACAAAATGTAGGAAATTTTATGCCAAATCTAATGACACCTAGATTTTAAAGATCGGACAACAAACAGCTGAGTTATTAATTTTTTAAATAATTAATAACTTCTTTACTGGCTTAATTGTTATTGTTTATTCTTTAAAATCGTCTGATCCTTTCTAAATAGTTACAAAAATGTAAGACAGCTGGTTATCCCTAACAATTTTTTTTATAAATAACCTTATAACTCGAGTTTGAATCGAGGTACAAACTTTAAATTTGACACACTTGTGTATTTTAACGTGGTACACAAACATGCAAAAATTTCATTTCGTTGACTATTGCCGTTTTAAAATGGCGGCCATATAAAATCTTGACCTCAAATTACATGAAAACCACTAGAGTTACAAAAAAAAAAAAAACACAAGAATAACAAAATGTAGGAAATTTTATGCCAAATCTAATGACACCTAGATTTTAAAGATCGGACAACAAACAGCTGAGTTATTAATTTTTTAAATAATTAATAACTTCTTTACTGGCTTAATTGTTATTGTTTATTCTTTAAAATCGTCTGATCCTTTCTAAATAGTTACAAAAATGTAAGACAGCTGGTTATCCCTAACAACATTTAGTTTTTTTACTTGATGGTAAATGTATTAAGTGTCCTATTTTTACCTTAACTATTGAGATCTGTTTAAGGTTACGTAATGTACTCTGTATCAGATGATTTTAAAGAATAAACAATAACAATTAAAAGCCAGTAAAGAAATTACTAATTATTTAAAAAGTTTATAACTCAGCTGTTTTTTGTCCAATCTTTAAGATCTAGGTGTCATTTGATTTGGCATAAGATTTCCTACATTTTTTTATTCTTGTGTTTTTTTTGTAACTCTAGTGGTTTTCATGTAATTTGAGGTCAAAGATTTTAGATGGCCGCCATTTTTAAACGGCTATAGTCAACGAAATTAAATTTTGCATGTTTGTGTACCATGTTAAAATACACAAGTGTGTCAAATTTGAAGTTTGTACCTTGATTCAAACTCGAGTTATAAGGTTATTTATAAAAAACACATACAGACAGACAGACGGAAAACGAGGCTCCGGCGACCCATGGTTATAATGTAAAATATTCATGTATTAACCCAAGGAATAATCCTGTGAATTTTTTCGAGAGAGTTCACAAACACCCTGTATATCATTGGACAGTTAAAGTGAATTACGACTCCAAGATACATCATTTTTGTATTTACAGCACTATCGGCAGTTTTTACAGTTTTTTGTAGGGGACCGGGCAATGTAAACCTTAAAAAGGTATTTCAAATAATACTTTTTAATAATTAATTTGGTTTACCTTTTTAAGAAAGGTGTGATACCTTTTTTTTAAAAAAAAGGTAAACCAATTTAATTAACCATTCGTTCTTGAAACTGGGAATAACACACTTTTTGATAATTTTATATTTAATACATTTTACTTGGTAAACAAATTTACCATTGCAAATCTTACCTTTATTGGGGATACTGTGGTATGTTGAAATCTGTATGCCTTACAGTCAATAAATAAAAAAAAGTGTTACTTTAGTGTATTTATTTAAAGTTATTATTAAACTAGATTTTTAACTACCTTCAATCCAAATTTATATTTTGTTTCCTCAGACATGATATCTAACCTGTAAATACCATACATCAATATTTATTGGGAAAAAATCAAATAAGTACCTAGGGGTTAATTCACAGCAGTACATTTAGTAAGACCACAGATAATATAACCCAAGACCCATAAATAATGTTTTCTCTCTTTTTACTTTCTCCCCCTACATCATAGTATATGGAGAAAGTATTGTTTTTGACAAAATTTTCGAGTTTGAGTTTTGAGTGGATATATTCATTTTGGGTCCCTCTAAACCCAAAAAAAGTGGTTTTCGAAGTGATGTCTGTGTGTGTGTCTGGATGTGTACAGAGCTACGGACTACACCTGTGGTCCAATTTTGATGAAAGTTGGTATGTAGGTACTAATCCATGATATCACATTTTATGAAATTTTGATTTTTAATCTTGATTTTCCCATAACAACCCATCAAATAACGGAAAAATTGGATTTTCTCAAAAATGGGCCGAACGATTTGATAAAAATGTTGTATGTTGAAGCCCTCCAAATTCTGAATAAAATGGTACAACTCCCATTTCTGTAAAAATTACGGTTGAAAAGCTATGTAAATTATGTTATTTTCCCATAAAACCCCACAAAATAAGAGAAAATCGTATTTTTTTAAAAAGGCCGGTTTTGGTTCAAATTAATATGGGATAATCGTTATAATTCTTTACAACATAGTGCAACCCCCAATTTCTGTAAAAACTGTGGTTCAAATCAAAAGTTATTGTTGCTTATGTAATTTTCTCATAAAAACCCATAAAAAGGGGAAAAAAAGATTTTCATTTAAATTCGTCTGTTATGTTCCTTATAATTCTAAACAAAATAGTGCAATCCCCTGTAAGAATCACGGTTAAAAAGCTAATGAAATGAAAATTTTGTGATTTTACCCATTAAATATCATACGGTAGTTAGTTACACTCATCACTTACCCATGATAAAGGTTGTTGACAAGCTAATGGGAGAAAGTATGTGTCAGATTGCTGATACCGTTTATTTTCTCTGTGTTATCATACAGATAGAACTATACAAATACAAGGTATTTACACTTTTTTTAATTACAGCACAAACACAATGCATAATATTATTTGTCGAAATGGTTGGCATCTACTCTCTACCTTATGATTATGATAAAAACTAAATCACCAAATAATTAAACACACTTATGTCCTTAAACTTGATAGGTACTATAAGTTCGCTTCAATTTACTTTGATAAGTTAAAACCAGAAAAATGTGTAATATGAATTAATTTTAAAAATCTTCATTAGTTCTTCCAAAATTATGATAGAAAAATAAATTATAGTTCAATTTCGATTATGGGGTTGGTAAAAGCTAATGTAATTACAGGTTTTAATTAAAAAGGTGTTATTTATAAAATTAAAATCGTGTAAAGAATAAAGAATTATTTTTTGAACAAGAACTACGCTGAATAGAACAAAGAACAAACTTCGAACTGAGAGTAAAATGATCCCTTCCAAGGATCTGGTAGATGTTATCAAATCCCCTCCGCCAGCTGAGACACTGATAAGTCGGGCAAAGCTGCGGCAGTCTGTTAGCGCGGTCCATAGTGCGTGTATGTAGCCTTGCTGTGAGATAATCAGTGGGTGCCTGCCTCAAGATGGAGAAAACCACCGAGCCGGCCCCCACTTCTGTCGTTGACAAAACCACTACACAAGTCTGTGATAAGGTAAACACTTGACGATCTTGTTAGTTGTTACATAACTGTTTTACGGGATTTAAATAACAGCTCTAATAGTCTAGTCCTGGTCAAATATCAACAGTAATGAGAATGCATTATCAAAGTTAATTTTACAGACCACTATTTTCTGTAATA